ACATCCTCTATATCACATCAATTTCACAAATATTCTACTGATCCGTTTACTGTTTTACCAAAATTGAAATTGATAGCAATTTAACTATAATTTAGAAAATTTATCATCATTATAGTTCAAATTACGCTAAACCGATATTGGAAAAAGAAAAAATTTCCTCTAGAGTTATTCATACGAAGAAAAGAAGAAAACAAAAAAATAAAGATATTAAATATATTATGATTCAGTTATGATAAAATTGATAACTTTCTAAGGATGGTCCAAATTTTTTTTTAAAAGAAAAATTCACACATGAAAGAAGTCATGACTTCTATTTTAATAGTATAGGCTAGATTTTGATCTGCGCTCTAAAAGCGCGGGATAAGTTTTTGGTTAATTTTTCTAATTCAGGAATTACTTCAATTTTGTGTGTGTTTTTTTAATTTTAATATTTGAATTTTGACGCCTTTAATTAAAAGTAATTTATATTGTTGTCTTATAGTAATTCGGGTTGGATGTTTAAGTACCGTTACATTTTTAGGATTGGTTTAGTTTGAGTAATGTTAGATTGGGTTTGTATTTATATTTTTCGAGTTATTTTGGTTTAGGTGTTTAGGACCAATGTAAGAACCAAATATTTTCCGGACCAGTTCAATTCGAGTAATGTTGGATTCAATTTGCAATTATATTCTTTTTGTAAAACCTGAAAAAACCGAATTATAAATAGTGTGAATTTGAGTCATGTTCAATCCAAAAATCGCAAAAAACATTGAAAAATCGAATTAACCCCAAAAATCCAAAATGTTAGTTTAAGTAATTAAGGGTTTTTAATATTATAATATATAAATTATATTATATATTATGATAATTAATATTTTTATTATATTTCAAATATTTGGATACTTGTTCGGTTATTAGTGCAGTTCTGATTTTAGTTTTGGTTTTTGGGTTTGAGAAATAGTAATTGTTTGGGCTTTTAAAAATTTTGGTATGGTTTGGGTTTTAATTTTTTGTTTCGGTTCGAGTTTGATTTTTTTATTTGGATAATATTTTCAAGACTAACTTTCTCAATAGTTTTCTTAGCTATGTTTTAATACCTATCTTACTAAAATATTAACCTCAATTTTTTTTTTATAATATCACTTTTGTGCTATTGTATTTTAAAGGATTTTCTCCTTCATTAAATATTTTTTATTTTTTGTAAATTGATTCCAAAAAATATTTTCCCCAAATATCAGACTTCACATATCTAAACTATAGTTTCATAATTTGTTATATAAATGTAAATAGCAGTTGTCAAAAAAATAATGACACTATTGTAAATTCTTAGCAAATTAAACATTAGAACCTGTTTTGCATTTGTCAAAGTTCATTTTTAACTTTACTAGATCCTTTTCCCGGGCTACGCCCGGGATTATTTTCATAAAATTTTAATTTATTTTAAAATATTATTTATATTTAAAGATGTAATATATATTGGAAACTTTGACAAATATAAATTATTAAAAGAATTTTCACATCTAAGAATGTAAAACGTAAATAATGATAAAAACACATATTACATTATTTAAAATAGTATTA